GACCCTGTCTCAAAAAAAAAAGAAGAAGAAGAAGAAGAAGAAAATATAGTGTGCCCTCCGCCCCCAATGCCGGTAGGAAAGAGTTACCACATTAAAATCTGTATTAATGTAGTGAAATCAAAAGTAAATAAGATGGTTTTCCTTTTCTAATACTTACTCCACATGATGACTCAATAAGGCAGGCAGAAGAAGCTCTTCTAAGGGAAGTTGCTGTGCAGCTTGAGGCCCATGGTCAGCTTCTAGAAAGGACCCCGAATCATTAACCCTCAAATAGAGTCCCCTGAATTTGGAACGGAAGTGTAAAATGCCCACCACGAAGACTTTCAGAGAAGTAGGATGCTTTGCCATCTGACTATACTCTTGTATAATGAACAAATTCTTCTGTATAAAGTTTCACTGTATAAAGACCCATCTTGATTTCAGATAAGAAAGTTTTATTGATCTTGCAACTATCAATTCTGCTCTGTTCCTCCATAAGCAAGTACCCAACCAATCATAGTAAATTTACATTAAGCTTAAAGGCTATTGGTATGAGTAAAAAAATTTCATCTCGTTAATATTTAAGTCAGTACCTTAAAAAGCCAAGCACATAGCAAGCACTCAATAAATGCCTGATCGATTGCATTTTTAATCTTTTATCTTTTTTTTCTTTTTTTTTTTTTTTTTGAAACAGTCTTAACTCTCTCCCTCTGTCACCCAGGCTGAAGTGCAGTGGTGTGATCTCAGCTCACTGCAACCTCCGCCTCCCAGGGTCAAGCAGTTCTCGTCCCTCAGCCTCCTGAGTAGTGGGTACTACAGGTGTGTGCCACCATGTTGGCCAGGCTGGTCTTGAACTCCTGGCCTCGAGTGATCCACCCACCTCGGTCTCCCAAAGTGCTAGGATTACAGGCGTGAGCCACCGTGTCTGGCCTAGTCCTTTATCATATACTCTAATTAATTACAACTGGCCACTTTTCAACTAAACCTTTCCTCCCAAAAAGGACTGCCCATCACACTTACAAAGCCATGTAAATGGCATCCATGGAACAAGCTAGAATTGATTTCTTATTTCATAGAGGAAAGAATTCCATCCACTGACTTAATTATCTGTAGTGCTTAAGATGTGATGTGCTTAACAGTGTTTAGTGAGAGAAAGATTCTCTGTTCCCTGGTCCTGTTTCTTGGCCTTTTCTCCATCTGCTGCTCATTTTTATAGCCAGCTTCCGGGTGCATGCCATATTTTCTCCATTCTGATGGAAAGATGAATGTATATTTTAAAATTGAATGAAAACTACAAATCCTGGCTGTGTTTTATTATCCCCATCTTTGTTTGTCAATTTGAAGAAATTGAAGGGAGGTAACGATTCTAAGACCCCGTAGTACAGAAATATTCTGCAAAAAGCAGTAGTATTTGAAGGATCATTTTTAAAAGTTTAATATCAGTATTTTAAATGTAAGAAATTTGTTCTACCTCATCAATTCTAACTTTAAAAGAATTCCTATAAATTATTAAAAAGATGCCAAATTCATTCTGATGATAAACACTTAAGAGTAGAGATTGTTTTAATTCTGTGTACTTAAAATCATTTTCTGTGTGCTGAAACTACTTGTTTTGCGTCAGAATTTTCTATTGCATTTCAGTTTTTAGCATCTCTTCTAGAACCTTTAGAATGTCAGATGGTACATCCTAGTGTTTCTGTTAGGATGCAGGTAAGTTGTATTCTTGCCAGATTCAACTGAAAATGAAAATACTGGGCCAGGTGTAGTGGCAGGCGTCTGTAATCTCAGCTACTCCGAAGCAGGAGGATCGCTTGAATCTAGGAGTTCGAGGCTGCAGTGCGCTATGATCACACTTAAGAATAGCCACTGCATTTCAGCCTAGGCAACATAACAAGACCCCATCCCTATTAAATAAATATAAAAATGGAAATACTCGGTTTTTTCATTTTTTGGGTAAGCAAGTGTTCTTCCATTTCTTTCTAAGATTTTGAAATGTGATGCTTGCAAGTCGTTTGCCTTCTCCATGAAAATACTCACTAGACATTTCTGCTGCCTTTAAGAGGAATTTAAAATTCTTTACAAAAATCAATTAACTATGCTTACCACAATCTTAGTATTTATCCTTAGTTTTGACTTAAACAATTTGTAATATGTATTGCCTCCTCAAAGAGATGGAGGTCTAGAGATAAACAAATTCTAGGTGAGTTTATTATTTACCTACAGTAAATTAGTATTTTTATAGCTAATTGGGCTTTAGCAACACATAAGTTATTTTAACTTCCCAAAACCTTGATAATTTTATTAGCTATGTTAATGTCTCTGATTTAATTTTGTCCTTTCAATTTGTAAAACTCCTTCTCCCAATATATATTATTGTCTTTCGTGTAATTAAAGTTAATATTGTAGTTAGCAATTGCCAGCGATAACTGGTTAGGGCTAACTCCCCTGTTATTGGTAACTATTTACATAATATATTGTTCAGCATAGAGCTTCTAATTTAAAATGATTTCTAGGTTGTGTATCCTTTTGTTATTAATCCATCTTACTGCATTTTCTTAGAATAAAGAGTATCAAGGGAACTGACTCCATACTATTTTTAGTCAGAAAATTAATACATTTCATAATTAATGTTGTAATATCCACGTTGAGGCCAAACAATGTAAAATTGATGGTTAACTATTTGCATTTTATACTGTAAGCTTTTCTCTTGAACTGTCTCATGCTTTCTACAGTTATGACTTAAAATATTTACATTTCTGTCTCTGAGCATAATGTATCTGTATGAAAATTAAAACTGCTACAAGCTGTCAGCCTGACTATCAGCAGTGTCAGGTGAGCTTATGGCAGAAGCAAAAGATTAGAATTTGAAGCAAAAGATTAGAATTTGAGTTGATTTGGAAAAATAAGATTGACCTATGCAACATAAAATGTTTTTTGTACTGAAGAGTGAAGGGCATGGGGAAATCCTCCTTGTTACCTGGTGTCATAACCTCTTTTGTGCCTGTAGATAATACAGTTGGCCCTTGAACAGTTTGGGATTAGGGCTATCAAAAGTATAAATTAGGGCTTCCCAAAAACTTAGCTACTTGACCAGAAGCCTTATTGATAACAAACAGTCAGTTAACACATACTTTTTTATGCCTTCAGAGTTTTATACAATAAGATAAGCTAGAGAATGGAAGACATTATTAAGAAAATTGTAAAGGCTGGGTGCAGTGGCTCATGCCTGTAATCCCAGCACTTTGGGAGGCCAAGACAGGCGGATCACTTGACATCAGGAGTTCAAGACCAGCCTGGCCAATATGGTGAAACCCTGTCTCTACTAAAAATTCAAAAATTATCAGGGCATGTTGTTGCATGCCTGTAGTCCCAGCTACTCGGGAGACTGAGGCATGAGAATCTCTTGAACCCGGGAGGCGGTAGTTGCAGTGAGCCAAGATTATGCCACTGCACTCCAGCCTGGGCAACAGAGCAAGACTCTGTCTCCAAAAAAAAAAAAAATACACACACACACACACACACACACACACACACACATATATATATATGTGTGTGTGTGTGTGTATATTTTTTTTTTAATTGTAAGGAAGAGAAAGTATATTTACTATTCATTAGGTGGAAGTAGATCATCATAAAGGTCTTCATCCTCATCATCACCATGTTGAGGAAGAGGCTGAGGAGGAAGGGGGGGCCTTGGTCTTGCTATCTCTGGGGTGGTGGAGGTGGAAGAAAATTTGTGTATAAGTGGATCCCTAAAGTTCACACCCATGTTGTCACGTGTCAGCTGTGATGCCACAGGCTTCTATATGCGTCTCTAACCTGTTTCCACAAGAGACCAATTCCTGAGGATGCTGTTGCAACAGGACTTGGCAGAGGAATGAAAGGGTTCCTGAAAAACCCTCCCAGAGTACCTATAGGAACTACTTTGATCCGTAATTCAACTCTCGTCTGCCTTCTAAGACAGAAACCTCAGATCTCCCTCAGCTTGTGGGTGGTACCATGGGAACCATCTGCATTTTCCAGTTATGACTTCACCTTTATGTGTTTAATCTGCCGTCTTCTCATTTCTTTGCCCAGATAAGGTGATCTGTGTCTATGATGGTCAAAAGATAAACAAGAATAATATTTCAGTATATATTTGCAACTCACAAATTTTTCTTAGAATGATTTCTTTTATGTCATTACATATAATACAATAAGTAAACAAGCTTTTAACCATAGTTTTAAACTATTCTTCTAAACACTACTGTGTTGCAAATGCTGACAATTGAATAGGCTTTAATGTTTAATGGACTTTTAAAGTTGTAAATGGGTAGAGGTCAGGAGTTAGAAAATGGCAATTTTTTATTTTTTCATTTTTTGAGACAGATTCTCGCTCTGTCGCCCAGGCTAGAGTGCAGTGGCACAATCTTGGCTCACTCCAACCTCTGCCTCCCGGGTTGCCAAAGTATAACTTAGGACTTCACAAAACATAACTACTTGGTTCCTGGGTTCAAGAGATTCTTCTGCCTCAGCCTCCCCAGTAGCTGGCATTACAAGTGTGTGCCACCACACCCAGCTAAATTTTTGTATTTTTAGTAGTGACTGGGTTTCACCATGTTGGCCAGGCTGGTCTTAAACTCCTGACCACAAGTAATCCACCCACCTCCCAAAGTGCTGGAGTTACAGGCATGAGCCACAGCATCTGACCAGTTTTAAGAAGCTAAACAAGCCATGTGCAGTGACACGCCCCAGTAGTCCCAGCTACTCAGGAGGATTGAGTGAGCCCAGGAGTTGAGGCCAGCCTGGGCAACACAGTGAGTCACCGTCTCTAAACAAAAATAAATAAATAAAAAGTTTAAAATACAAAGCTAAACAAATCAGATTACATGTAATACATTTGCCTCCTTTAAGTTTTCTACTAAGGGCTATTCTAAGGATAGATTATCTTGAAATTATTTTGAAATTGAAAACTGAATTATATTTTTACTTTTCTCTGATGCACTTTCATTATTTTCTCTACCCCTTGGAACCTTTTTCAGTTTCATCAGGCTGGGGAGAAATGCCTCATGTTCACTCAAAGACTGAAAACTCTTGGGGAGAACCATCCTCCCCTTCTCCCCTGGTGGATAATGGCACAGCAGCGTGGGGGAAGCCACCCAGCAGTGGTAGCGGGTGGGGAGATCACCCTGCCGAGCCGCCAGTGGCGTTTGGAAGAGCTGGCGCACCTGGTGCTGCCTCAGCCCTGTGCAAACCAGGTAAGCCTAGCATTGTGCTTGCCCTGATCTGGCAATTTAGAAATGACTCAAAGTATTGAATTTTAAAAATTAGAGTTTTAGGATACTTTCCTCATTATATTTACGCTTTTACTACAAACCAAGAATCTTGGCCAAGCACAGTGCCTCACACCTGTAATCCCAGCACTTTGGGAGGCCAAGGCAGGAGGATCTCTTGAGCCCAGGAGTTCGAGACCAGCCTGGGCAGCATAGTGAGACCTTGTCACTACAAAAAAAATGGAAAAATTAGCCAGGCATGGTGGCACACGCCTGTAATCCCAGCTACTCGGGAGGCTATGGTGGGAGGATTGCTTGAGCCCAGGAGGTTAAGACTGTAGTGAGTCATGATTGTACCACTGCATCCAGCCTGGGCAATAGAGCAAGACCCCATCTCTTAAGAAAAAAAAAAAGCCAAGATTATAAAATATTTGCCATGCCTGATACGTGAACACGAAGGCGGTTTTAAGAGATGTCCATGCCCTCCTTTTATAATAATACAAATAAATGCAAGAATCAAAGCAACCAGCATATTATGTTTGATTCTCCTGGTAATGCCCACACTACTTCAGCAGTATTCTTGTACCTGCCACATTAAGTAATTTAAACCTGCTATTTCACTGAGCAAGATAGATAAAGCATGTCATCTTCTTGAGATAAGTTTTTAAAAATATGTTTTACCTCACAGCAGCCTAACGTATCTTGCCATCTTGCCCTGCTTTCATCTTGTCAACAGAATTCCACTTTGGGTGGAATTCGCCATGTTTGTTTTCAAGTTATTTATCCCTAAACAACTTGAAAAAATAAAAAAATTGTACATTTTCCTCCCATTTTCTGAAAGTGTAGCAAATTTGCAGGTAATAAATATCCTTATAAATGTCCAGATTATGTATACCACGTGGAATTCTTATAATATATGGGTGTTTTGCAATGTGATATTTGTAATATTAACATGAATATAAGATTACTGATTTAAATCTGGTATTAAAATTAATTCTGGCTGGGCATGGTGGCTCATGCCTATAATCTCAGCACTTTGGGAGGCCGAGGTGGGTGGATCACCTGAGATCAGGAGTTTGAAACCAGCCTGGCCAACAAGGTGAAACCCCGTCTCTACTAAAAATACAAAACTTAGCTGGACATGGTGACGGGCACCTCTAATCCCAGCTACTCAGGAGGCTGAGGCAGGAGAATCACTTGAACCTGGGAGGCGGAGATTGCAGTGAGGCAAGATCAGGCCACTGCACTCTAGCCTGGAAGACAGAGACTCTATCTCAAAAAAAAAAAAAAAAAACTAATTGTTCACATAACTGCAGAAACTTCATCTTTTTTGTTTTTGTTTTTGTTTTTTTTTTTTGAGATGGAGTCTGGCTCTGTTGCCCAGGCTGGAGTGCAGTGGCACGATCTCAGCTCACTGCAAGCTCCACCTCCTGGGTTCACGCCATTCTCCTGCCTCAGCCTCCCGAGTAGCTAGGACTACAGGCGCCCGCCACCTCGCCCGGCTAGTTTTTTGTGTTTTTAGTAGAAACGGGGTTTCACCATGATAGCCAGGGTTGTCTCAATCTCCTGACCTTGTGATCCAACCGCCTCAGCCTCCCAAAGTGCTGGGATTACAGGCGTGAGCCACCGTGCCCGGCCAGAAGCTTCATCTTTTCTTTGGACATTATTAGATGTCCTAGATATTAAAATGCAACTTTATTGCTTTTATATTTTGTTTTTTTGCTAATGCTCGATAGTGTGTTCCATATAGTCACCACTCTGCTCAAAGTATTTATTCCATTTATATTACTTTTTGTTACAAACCTAAAGGATAGGGGAATTTCTGAGTATTTAGATTCATGTGCCATTTTGAGGCAGTGTATTCTATCTTGAGAATTTTTCCTTGGAGGCACAGTTACGTGTCTATTCTATATGTTTATCAGCATTATATCTTCATTAAAGACCCAGCTAATTGCGCTATTACCTAGTCTTTGCCCTTCTTCATATTCTTCCAAGAAGTGAAAATTTGGGGTAATTTTGATACCGAAAATCACTTTGTATTTTAAGAAAGGAGGGAAAAACAATATCTGAAGTGGAAACTCAATAGTCACTTTGTAGCTCCATCTGCCTAAGACCTCCATCCTGCTAGTCTGTAAGCGTCTCCTATGGGCTTGTTAGAAATGCAGCCTGTCGAGCCCGACCTCAGGCCTGCCACACTGCACGTGATCCAGCTGACTGTCATGAGTGGGCAGGTTTGAGAAGCTCTGCTCTGTGTCACTTAATCCTCACAGGTTTGGATCAAGCAGTGATTAAGAATCAGACAGAGGTGGTCATTTCAGCAGCACACGTACTAAAACTGGAACAATACAGAGAAGACTAGTGTGGCTCCTGTGCACAGATGAGATACAGATTTATGAAGCATCCCATTACAGATTTTCCTGCCACTTGTGATGACTCCTGCCTGTAATCCCAACACTTGGGATGCTGAGGCAGGAGGACCGCTTGAGCCCAAGAGTTTGAGACCAGCCTGGGCAACATAGTGAGACACCATCTCTATTAAAAAGAAAAATTTTGCTGGATGTGGTGGCACATGCCTATAGTCCTAGCTACTCAAGAGGCTGAGGCAGGAGGATCACTAGAGCCCGGGAGTTCGAGGTTGCAGTGAGCTATGATTGCACTACTGTACTGTAGTCTGGGCAACAGAGCAAGACCCTGTTTCAAAAAAAGAAAAAATGTACAAATTTTAAAAACCACACAGGACAATGAAATGTTTTAGGAATCTACATTTCTGTAGCCTTTTCATACCATGTAGAGATTGCCACCTTCCCTGGTGGCCCCAGGATTTGTTCTTAGCATGTTTGTGTTTTAGAATGATCTATAGTTGGTTAAGAAAGTTTAGAACAGCACAGAGTACAAATAGCTGGTGTTTGAAGGAAAAATTATGTACATATACATGTTTATTTACATATGTAGCAGAAGAAATTCAATTCTGAGATCTGGGAGAAATGAAGGCATAAAAAGGTAGATTGCAGTGCATCATTTGTCCCGCCTCCCCTAAATTATTTGTTATAGTGGAAGCATCGTCCGCGTTAGGAACGTGAATTTGATAAGTTCATGTTTGCTCTATTTCTAGCTTCAAAATCTATGCAAGAAGGCTGGGGCAGTGGTGGGGATGAAATGAACCTCAGTACCAGCCAGTGGGAGGATGAAGAAGGGGACGTGTGGAATAATGCTGCTTCCCAAGAAAGCGCCTCCTCCTGCAGCTCCTGGGGGAATGCCCCCAAAAAAGGACTTCAAAAGGTAATGCGTACAACATTCTTAAAGATGGGATACCCTGAAAACCAAAGGTATTTCAAACACATTCAGTATCCAGTTAATCAGATGAAAAGATAGACCTGAGGTTCTCAAAGTAGTCTTAGGACCCTTGGAGGTCCCAGAGACCCATTCAGGGGAGTAAGCAAGGTCACAACTATTATCATGCCAGTACTAAGACTGTCTTATTCATTTGAAATCTCTCTCCAGTATAGGGTAGAGGTGTCCAGAGATCTTTATTATAGCAGAGAATGTGCAGAAACAGACATGAAAATCCAGCCATTTATCTTAAACCAGACATAGAGATTTGCCAAAAGGCAAAACAATGCCACCCTTCTCATGAAAAATTAATTACTTTTTATTTTAAAATGTTAGGTTAATGTGTAATGACTTTGTTGTTATTTTTAAACAAAATATTTTTAAATTTTCTCAGTTTTAATTTCTAATACAGTAAATAGCAAAAGACACAAATCATATAAACAAAAGTTCTTTGGGATCTTCAGTCTCTAAGAGAGTTTTATAGGGTCCTGAGACCAAAAAGTTTGAGACAGTTGGTTAAGAAGTCTTAAAACAGATGGGCAGGCCGGGCACAGTGGCTCACGCCTGTAATCCCAGCACTTTGGGAGGCCAAAATGGGTGGATCACTTGAGGTCAGGAGTTCAAGTCCAGCCTGGCCAACATGGTGAAACCCCATCTCTACTAAAAATACAAAAATTAGCTGGGCGTGGTGGTGGGCGCCTGTAATCCCAGATACTCAGGAGGCTGAGGCAAGAGAATTGCTTAAACCTGGGAGGCAGAGTTTACAGTTGCAGTGAGCCAAGAACGCTTCACTGTACTCCAACTTGGGCGACACAGCGAGACTCCTTCTCAAAAAAAAAAAAAGACACAAATGGGCAGTCATCTAGAAAAAATTGAGATACACATCTCATATATATGTGAGATACATGAGACATGTATCTCTTTTTTTTCTAGATGACTGCCCATTTCAGTCCACATTCAGCATGACTGAATTTCAAGTAGGTCACAAATTTAAATATTAAAAATATAAAAATGTGAAAGAACATTAAAAACAATTTTGGAGTCAGAGAGGCCTATCTAACTATGACCAAAAGCTAAAAGGCATAAAGGAAAATCTTTTGCGTCAGTAGATAAATATAAAAACTGTACATGACAGAAAATACCATAATCAAAGTCAAAAGAAAAATAGCAAACTAGAAAAATATGTTTATAACTCATATCATAGAGAGGGCGGATCTCCCTGATACATAAAGTCCTAGAAACTGATTAAAAAAAAAAAAAAAAATCAGCCAGAAAAAAAAAAAAATCACAGAATGTGAAGAGTAGCTGGTCCACAGAGAAGGAGCACCAGTGGTCCTAGACACAGACTCACAGGAAGGCAGTGCAGTTCCAGACAGCACTCAGAGATGCCTGCCATTTTTCATCTCTCAGACCTGCAGAAAGCCAACGTTTTGATTTTTTTTATTTAAAAAAATTTTTTTAGGGACAGAGTCTTGCTGTGTCACCTAGGCTGGAGTACAGCCTTGAACTCCTGGGCTCGAACTGTCCTCCTGCGTCATCCTTCTGAGTAGTTGGGTCTACATGTGCATGCCACTCTGCCCAACTAATTTTATTCTTTATTTTTTCTGTAGAAACAAGAGTCTCACTTTGTGGCATTTATACAGTTTTGTATTGCAGCATTTTTGTAGTAAAAAGATAAAAATGGTTTAAATGTACATTGGTGGAGTAACAAGTTAATTGTCATTTCTACATTATGCAAAACTATTTAAAAGGAAATTCTATATATGTATTGATATGAAAGGATCACTCAAGTACATTGTTAAATGAAAAGCAAGGTGCAGAAAAACATGTACAGCGCACACCCTATTTTGTGAGGTAGGAGGAAGAAAACCGTTCGTGTGTGTATTTGTGTGTGTGCATGCATGCGCACATAGTGTATTAGCTTCTATAGAATGTTCTAAATTCTCTGGAAGGGCAAATAAGAAACTGCTATGAGTAGTCTCCTCTTGGAGAGAACAGGAACTAAGCAGATGGGGCAGCATGAGATGAAAACTTTCTTTATACCTTGTTTATGCTTTTGAATCGTGTGAATGTATTCATGTTCAAAAAAATGTAGTTTAAAAAAGCATTCAGTTAATAATCAGCAGAAACCAGAAACTAAAATCAGAGCTTTCCGCTCGTGAGTAGTAGAAGTGATTACAGACATCAGAAAGAATCTTTTTTACAGTTGGGCTGGCAAATAATCCAGTTAACGATGGGACCAAAAATACCAAATTGGTAAATTAAAATATTGGCTGATCTGGCTCTGGCCGCATACTAATGATTAAAATAGCCCCCAAATAAGCTAGTTCCTTGAGGAAAGAAAGCCTGTTTGTAGAGCTCCATGTGCTCTATGATATAACTGTGGCAGGCTCAATTGTGAAAAACACTATGAAGAATATTTTTAGAAGGGGATTTTTTTCATATTATGATAATGCATCATCAGAACCTTTGCATTTATAGGCTCAGAGGGAATGTTTTGTTTTGTTTTGTTTTTGAGATGGAGTTTCGCTCTGTTGCCCAGGCTGGATCGCAGTGACACGATTTTGGCTCACTGCAAGCTCTACCTCCCAGGTTCACGCCATTCTCCTGCCTCAGCCTCCCGAATAGCTGGGACTACAGGTGCCTGCCACCACGCCCGGCTAATACTTTGTGTTTTTAGTAAAGACGGGGTTTCACCGTGTTAGCCAGGATGGTCTTCATCTCCTGACCTCATGATCCACCCATCTCGGCCTCCCAAAGTGCTGGGATTACAGGTGTGAGCCACCGTGCCCGGCCAGAGGGAAGTTATTGAGAAGCCTCCTGGCTCCTCTGTGGTGCCATGCCCTCCCCCCGACACTGCTCTTTCTGTAGCTGACCTTTTTCCTCATCCTCTCCTTCACTGACATTTTCCTCCTTACTCGTTTTCTCTACCCTGTGAGCTATACATAACAAATAGTTAATAAAACTAACAGGTTTTTTCTCTCTTTCTTCTTGCTGCCTGTTTATTCATTGGAATAAACCCCCCTCATTTTATCATTTTTCAGAATAAAGCTCAGAAAAGGGCAAAAACTGTGTAAATAATTTTTAGTAAACTTCACACAGGGCTATGTTCAAGGGAGCACTTAGAATTATTGGATAGTAAAAATAGTATATATTTGTGATGAACTAAATTATCTGGGAAAGAGAAATAATTATCTTGCTTTTTTTAAGTTCATAAATTGCACACATATACCAACCTGCAAATGTACCTTGATGCTTTCCATAGTAGTAGCCATGAAATACTGTTAGAGAGTTTCTGGAATACAGCATTATTCAACGTTAATACAAAAAGATCCTGTGACTTTTAAATGACCCTGAATTTAGGCTGTCTCCTATTTCTGGAAGAAATGCATTAAAATATAGCTCATGGACTTTCCCCTTTCCCACACTTTGTTCCAGGGCATGAAGACATCTGGCAAGCAGGATGAGGCCTGGATCATGAGCCGGCTGATCAAACAACTCACAGACATGGGCTTCCCGGTAACTGCTGTCATATTTTACTGCTACCTACCATGCTTCCCAAAATGAAATGCCCTGATTGTTTCCTCTCTGTGTTTGCTCTGTGTGTCAGAAGGCACCAGGATTATTTGAGGAATGAGATATTGACATCATCTAACTCTTGAATCTCCTTTTTACCTGGGTAGTTTGGGTTAGGGATCATTGCTTTGAACTACAGCAAAGACCCACATAATTTCTGTCAAAAAGGGTGTGAGAGCCTTTTCCTAGAAAAGAAAATGCTGTTTTTTTGTTTTGTTTGTTTGTTTGTTTGTTTGGAGGCAGGGTCTTGCTCTGGCACCTAGGCTGGAATGCAGTGGTGTGATCAAGCAATCCTCGTGTCTCAGCCTTCCGAGTAGCTGGGACTACAGGCGTGAGCCACCATGCTCGGCTAATTTTTGTATTTTTGGTGGAGATGAGGTTTCACCATGTTGGCCAGGCTGGTCTCGAACTCCTGGGCTCAAACAATCTGCATGCCTCGGCCTCCCAAAGTGCTGGGATTACTGGCATGAGTCGCTACGCCCAGCCAGAAAATGCTGTGTGATTTTTAATTTTCATTGGTTTTATACAGTTTTATGTTTACTTTTAATTCATAATTAAAAGTGAATTTCATTAGTGTATAGAGTATATTGACAAAGATCACAAAAGAAAACTTGGTATAAAGTACTAAAGTTTCATATCCAGAAAAAGTATCCTAACCAGACCTGCTTAGTTCCTGAGTTTCCAGTCATATGTAGGGAGAATTCATATTGCAGAGCGTTCCCCTGAAAATACCACAGTCTGTTCAGTTCCTGAGATTGGATGGCAGTTCAGATGACAAGGAATGTTGCCCATATTCGCCATGTATTCCCTTCATGTGCCTTTTTTCAAAATCCTTATTCAAATGAATGTTTATATTTTAATTACTGTAGATGCCTTTTAAAAAATGAGTCCAGAATGGCCTCCATGTAGAGGAAGAACCCCATCCTTCACATTGGGCACAGGCCCTCTGCATTGGGCAGGGCATTGTGTTGGTGGCCCAGGCTCTGCCTGTGTGAGTGGGCAAGAGGTTGACCATGGCCGCAGCGTGTCCTGATTTATACTGTCTGAGTTATCGTGGCACCCTAGCGGCTTCTATCATCCCCTGAGATTACTGTGTTCCAGTCATAAATTATCAAAATGAATCTACTTGTTTTGTTTTTCTGTTTCTTAGAGAAAAGTTGTTGATGATAGAGCCTAGAGTTGATGAAGTGAGAAGTGAAGCTCTGCACTCCAACAGTGACTGACATAGTTGCTGGGACTAGAGAGAGGCATGGAGATGGCCCCATGACAGGAATCCTGTCCTAGGAGAGCATCCTGTCCTCATGGCAGGTGTCCTTGTCTGTGGCCCTGCTGTCTTGGCATAGATTGCATCTTTATGGAATCAGTGCTACTCAGTGTTGTACAGAATGATTTTAGGGCCAGACACGGTGGCTCACGCCTGTCATCTCGACACTTTGGGAGCCCGAGGCAGGAGGAGGACCACTTGAGCCCAGGAGTTTGAGACCATCCAGGACAACATGGAGAGAACCTATCTCTACAAAAATAATACTAATAGTTACATTTTTAAAAAATGAAAATGATTTTAGGAGTACTTACAGGGTTTTACTGTCACTCTGCATTTTGTTTCCAAAGTGTTAAATACACATGCTTTACTTTGAAAATCAAGTCAATACATTTTCTTATTACAAGTATTTTTAATTCAAAAGACATTGTCTCTAACTTCAACAGTGAAGAAATGTATTTCCAGTTCCAAAACCTAATAACTATGTCTTTAAGTTGATAGTAATTAAACTATTTGTAAGCTTTCCTTCTGTTAATTAATGTGCATTAATGAAAACTCTGTTTTCCTACTCAGAGAGAGCCAGCAGAGGAGGCCTTGAAGAGTAACAATATGAATCTTGATCAGGCCATGAGTAAGTCATACAACATCCTTTTTAAAAAGGTACCCAGCTGTGAAGTTTTACTTTCCAGAAGCATTTGGTTGTAGTCATGGTTTAATGGTTGAATATGTCCTGGGTAGACAGGACCAGGCCACAGTGAAAGAGCAACCACACAACAGGCTGGAACCACAGAGTGAGTCTCTAGGGACTAGTGGACTTTGGAGCCGAATCGCCAATACCATAGTTGAAGCATGTTGGCTTTTCTCAATATTTTCCCATATGTTTTAAAGGGAGGTAATAATGACACTCTGAGAGACACTGGAACCACACACTGGACTTCAGTGGACGCTGAGTGCGTTCCTCATGCCTTGCCCCAGAGTGGACTTGCCTAGGGGCCAGCAGAAGCGTCGCCTTGCTGGTTGAGCACCAGCTCTTGTTGAGAGATAAGATTTTCTGTCAAGGAACAAGCAACCCTAGTTCTGGACTGCTTTAAAAGTAATAATAATGTTAAATATTTACATTTAAATATAGTTGATTCTTATTTTCTTGGTGGTTATGTTCTATAAAGTCACCACAAACACTGAATTAATGAATACTGAACCAGTGCTCCTAGGAGACATGGGGTTGGGTTCCTCGGAGACACAGGGTTGGGTTCCTGTGAGCCTTTGCTCACAACATTTTTGTCAACCAGTCAATATATAACCTTGTTTTATATGTTTTTCTGTTTCAAGACACCTTATTTAATATTGATATATATTTCTCACAAGTAATTATATGCCATATTTGTTAATACTAAAACATTAACCAAGAAGGGTGTACCATTTTTCTGACCCTGGATAATGTGACCATAAATTTATTTGGCTTTCAGACTCATAACAATGCCGTCCACTACACTCATGAATCCACAAATTTAGCTTCTTTTCCATAGCCCTATCACATGCCCAGATGTTACTTGAGTACTTCTGAGCAGCCTCACATACAGGTCAGTGAATTTTCTCTTCCTTTTTCTGGATGTACCATGTCATTGATTCATGATCATTGAACTCAGGGCCAACAGTGCTTTAACTCATGCCTACATGAAACTTACTTGACACGCATACTTCCTCCGTAAGGTGCTTTACTGCCTTCTTGAGCTTAAAAACACAAGACAGCACCTCAGCCCCACATGGGGGGACCATTTTAAACACCAGCATCACTGCAGAAAGCACAGAAATACGAAAAGCATGACAATAAATGAACGACAAAAAGGACGCTTCTTTACAGCTTGAGATCTGAGGCCCAACCTGAACTGGGAACATGAATGTTGGGCAACTCACATTTTTTTTGCCAATCTGCACATGTCCACAAATAACCACAAAAGTGCTGCAATTATTGATTTGGGGGTTACAAATTTTAGCAAGTAGGACAGTTTTACAAGTACAGATTTCATGAATAATGAGGATAGACTGCAGACTGTCTAATCGTGCACGTGCGACAACATGTGGTGCAAACTGCCAGGGTGGGACAGAGCAGGGTGTGCTGCAAGAGGTGAATTCTAACTCCCTAGAACTGTGGAGCAGGATGGAGGGTGGGCCAAACACACACTAGTCATTAAGCCAACAGAGCCATGAGAATAGAAACAGTGTCTGTTTTGCACAGTATTGTATCCCCCACATCTGGAAGAATCCTTGCAGATACAGGACTCGGTGAATGGAGAGGCACAGCCATGAAGTAGGAGAGGAGCTGTTGCAGACAGAATAATAGGGAAGGCCCCTGCAAGAAAGTGACCATTGAGTTCACCAGAAATGAGGAAGCAAGCTGTATAGAAAACTAGGGGAGGGGGTGCATCCCAGGGAAGAGGACAAGCCGAGCCCCTGAGGACCAGCCATGGCTGGTGTGGCTGCTGCAGAGAGAGCAGAGGAGCGGCAGGGCCAGATCAGAGAGTGCAGGAGCCATGGAAGGATGCACGAGACCAACCCCCATCCCCTCACCTGAATCCTTGGCAGCCCCTTGTTGGGCTCAGCCCTAGCAAAGCCAAGGGCTGTCTCTGCCCCTGGCTTCCCTGTGTTTAAAGGGGTGGAGGGTCTCCATCCCTCCTTGAGGCCTTAACTGGTGCCTGTCTTGTGCTCAGCACTCACTTGTTTTGTTTACAGCGTTGCTTCTGTTTGTTGTGCTCCAGGCGCTCTGCTGGAAAAGAAGGTGGACGTGGACAAGCGTGGGCTGGGAGTGACCGACCATAATGGAATGGCCGCCAAGCCCCTCGGCTGCCGCCCGCCAATCTCCAAAGAGTCTTCCATGGACCGCCCCACCTTTCTTGACAAGGTATGAATATAGGTGGTTTTTTGTTTTTGCTTTTTTAACAAGAGGAGTTTTTCATTTCAACTGTGTCCTTAATACAAGCCAGATTAAAAATTTGCTGGACTGTAATACTTAAATGACTTTTGTCCATTTTTTTCTAACATTATGAATGTTGAACTCAAAGAAGGGAATGTCGTATTTCATGTGATGTTACTGAGAATGAAAAAGACTGGGATTGAAAATAGATTTTCATTTTTATTTTGTGATCTTGGCTGGTTTTCTGCTTCAATTTGTCCAGTGGGCAAGGATCATCAGATTTCCATTTTAAAACACAAATATCTCATTTTAAAAACACAGATCTTCCCTTTGGAAATGATGTGTTACATGTTTATCCTCAGGAAAAGGGATTGGAAGTGGTGGGGCTTGGGCACCCATCTCTGGCTGCCCCTTATCAGCTGGCCACATGAGTGACCACAGCAGGCATCCGTGGAAAACTCCCTGAATGTTTAGCAAGTCCAGTCACAGCTCAGTCCCCGGTGTTGTCATGTAATGATGTCCCCACTCCAGATTGGTGTGACTACAAAGCGGAGAAAAGCATTGCACTAAATTCAATGCAAACATTGAGCCTTGAAAATAAAATTGAAGTAAGGAAGGACACATTTAAAAAAAAAAATCACCAATGAAAGGAGGCTGGGTGTGGTGGCTCACTCCTGTAAACCCAGCTGAGGTGGGTGGATCACCTGAGGTCAGGAGTTCGAGACCAGACTGGCCAACATGGTGAAACCTCATCTCTACTAAAAGTACAAAAATTAGCGAGCATGGTGGCACATGCCTGTGATCCCAGCTACTTGGGAGGCTGAGGCAAGAGAATTGCTTGAACCCGGGAGATGGAAGTTGCAGTAAGCTGAGATCGTGCCATTGCACTCCAGCCTGGACAAGACAGCAATACTCTGTCTCAAAATAAAAGAAAAAAAACAATGAAAGGAAAGGCTCACAAGCAAAGAATATCAGAGATGGGACTTGATCTTACTCTCAGAGTCCTCCAGCACGTGATCTGCTTCAGCTGCAGCTGTGGGGTAGCCCAGGGTGAGGCTCACATCCTCGTCCTCGTCCTTCCCATCGCCAGTGTGGACAGAGTTCAAACTCATAATGCCCAGTGAAATTGGAATACAGATAAATAATTTTTGAAATCATACTAAAAAATTACTGTTCATCTGAAATTCCAGTGTAACTCAGCATCATATATTTTTATTTGCTAAATCTGACAACCCTAAATTGGGACCCTGACATTTAAAATATGGAATAATGCACAGGCTGGTTGTGATGTTAGCTGACATAAATTTGCAAAAGACCTGGCACATAGCATGACCTCAATAGATGTAAAAAAATAATAATAATAATAATAAGGTTCTGTCTTTTATAACTTACTTTTATAACTCACCCTCTTCTTAGATTACACTCTATGAAACTGCTGTGTTTGTAGGTCAAAAACAAATGTCACAGAATTCAACCTATGTATACCTACAGCTTTGGTAATAACTTCTCAAAAAGAATCTGTTTATTTGAAAATGGTTGTAAAGTGCTTGTTGCCAATGCCTCCATCCTTCCTCCGTGCTCCTACCTGTTAGGAGCCAGTAGTTAGGAGAATAGTCGCAGCTAATATATGTGTTTGTAAAATACTTTTAAACTGAAAACAGCATCTTAATCCTATTTCTCTTTTTCTTTTTCCCTTCTTGCTTTTGCCCATGTTCTCCATTCCCTTATCCACACTTTTTTGATCTGTTAATTATTTATCCATCCATGCCTCCTCTGTTTCCTTGGGAAACTGTTTGGTGCTTTGTCTGCTGATGGACACTGCACACAGCTCACCCTTTCTTTCTCCAATCAGGATGGCGGCCTCGTGGAAGAGCCCACGCCTTCACCGTTCTTGCCTTCCCCAAGCCTGAAGCTCCCCCTTTCACACAGTGCACTCCCCAGTCAGGCCCTGGGTGGGATTGCCTCCGGGCTGGGCATGCAAAACTTGAATTCTTCTAGACAGGTAAGGCTGTTGGGAGAGAGCAACACGTGGCCTTTGTTTTACCTGCCTTCTAAAAAATGTGTGTTTGAGACATAAACTTTCTTATTTGTAGTTAATACCTCTATTTTAAAATATGACTGAAAATGTACAGGTAGTTGAAATACTACAAGGATTTCCCTTCAAGTGACTTATTGGAGTCAAGGGTTGAAGTAGGAAATGCTTTAGTTATATTTATTCTTAAACTTAACTAAAACGTGTTAAGTTCAGCACCCTTGGTCTAACTTGGGACTGGCTGAAGTGATGATGTGTTGCACAGTGGTCTTCGGCTGCCAGATCCATCCAGAGGTCCAGGTAGTCCCCAGCCTCTTTCCTCCTGGCAACCAAAACGTTACATCTGTTGATCTGTGAGAAAGCACCACATTCTCCCCCTTTTTCCCAGAAATAAAGATGACATCTCTTGCAAGGTGGTTCTCAGGAGTCACACTGGCATTTTTTTCCAGACTTCAGCACTCTTTGGGTACAGGCGGAGATCACCTTTCTAAATCAGTTACTAAAGGAAGAACCTGAGAGTGTCGTTTGCCACTTCATCTTACTTTTCTCATATAGACTCTTAACGTGAAGTGTTGTACCAAAAAACACATGATCCTTTCCCATCCCTAGGACATCCCTTCTCTCTGATTTTCTTAGGGATGAGGTTGACACACACACACCCCTTGGAGACATGTCTCTAAGACACTGTGACATGTGGGTGGCCAAACAGCCTCTGTGTGCCCATTGTCCCAGTGTTGTTACCAGTAGTGCCCTTTCCACTCACCAGCGCCCAGCTGTGTGATCTTGGCAATCTGACATTACCCCCATGGTGGTGATGCAGTGAGACCTCTCATTTCCATTGTTCTGCCAGCTTCAAGTCAGCAGCCCCGCTAGGGTGTGCACTGGGGTTAGTTCACAGCTGTTAGGTTCACAGAAGGGGGTCTCTGCCAGTGCCTCTCAGGCGGCTCTTCCCAAGTGAAGCTGTACAGTACCTTACCTCACCTATTTGTCAGGTAACTCATTACACAGAGTGAAAACTACAGCTACAATATCTTTATCATAGTTAATACAGAATTAACTACCTGAATTTGTCAGTTCATTCCATTTCAAGGTTTATTGAAATAATAACTATATTTCCTGTTTGAAATGTTGCCGGCCGGGCGCGGTGGCTCAAGCCTGTAATCCCAACACTTTGGGAGGCCAAGATGGGCGGATCATGAGGTCGGGAGATCGAGACCATCCTGACTAACGCAGTGAAACCCCGTCTCTACTAAAAAAACACAAAAAACTAGCCGGGCGAGGTGGCGGGCGCCTGTAGTC